GTGGGGTGGAGCTTGGGCAACTGAATGGAGCTGAGTGTTTACTGGTCGGCTGCCCTTTCTGTTGCCAATGCGGAGTTATATTCAGCAGATATTAACAGATGAACAGAATCAGAAGGGACCTTGTAGGTCATCTAGTCCAGCCTCCTGCCCAAGCAGGAGACCCTACACCATTTCTGACAGATGACAGTCCGGTCTCTTCTTGAAAACCTCCAGGGATGAAGCTCCCACAACTTCCAAAGGAAACTTCTGTTCCATTGGCTGATTGTTCTGCCTGTCAGAAAATCCCTCCTTACATCCGGGTTGAATCTCTCCTGGATCAGTTTCTGTCCATTATTCCATGTCTGGCCTCCAGGTGCCTTCCCTGGAGGTTTTTAAGAAGAGACTGGGCAGCCATGTGTCCAGTATAGGCTGCCCTGCTAGAGCAGAGGGTTGGACTAGAAGACCTCCAAGGTCCCTTCCATCTCCAACTCTGTGATTCTGTCTCTCTTGTCGCCTCCAAATTTGTTTCCTGCAGAAAACATTGGAGCTGCACCTCAGATGATTATGTTTGGCAGCTTGGCGGAGCGTTTAGCCTTTGACAAGCAGCAACTGAAGGAGGCCAGAACTCAGGAGAAACAGCTGAGCGGATGTCTGGGCCAACAGAAAGCAATTTATTCCCAGGTAAGGAGAAAAAAAAGTCTGTCCCGCCCACAACGTATCAGTTCTGCTCAGCATAGAGAACCTCCAATTTCTTTTGGAATGCCAAGATTAGAGCAAGCTTTTAAACAGCAACCTTTTAAAGTCTGCAATCTGCATTCGGGCTTCTAAAATAAACCCTGTTTGCATTTTTGAAAAAGCCGGGATGGTTTGAATCCCAGATAACGTATCATTTGCTTCTGTAATCCTTGCTGTAAAACCCACCCCCCTCACCTCAAGCGGGTGTCTGGTAGCGTCTGTCCCAGCGAAACTCATTATGCTCAAAGGCTGGAGCTCTCCTTATTTCGTCAGGATGGCGCCTAGATTGAGATTTTTATGCGGTTGGATTTTTATCCCACTTTTACGATTGCTTATAGTGACTTAAGGCAAACATATGAGATATTCCTTCTTCCTCCCACATCAATTTTACTCACAAGAATTCCGTGAGGTACGCTGGGTTGTTTTAACATGAGGCTAGAATTCACAGGCACCTGATTTCTAGGCCAGCACTTTAATCGTCTCTATCTATCACCCTTCCTTCCTTCCTTCCTTCCTTCCTTCCTTCCTTCCTTCCTTC